TTGCTGAATTGATAAATTGATCAAATCACTAGATATTTATTCAAAGCAACTAAATTTCTTTTGTGAGCAAGCTATCTGCATTAAGGCTTAATGGTGGCACACTTCTTTAGCAAATATTGCATCATGAAAGGAAGTGTTGTTGTTTACAGCTCAAATATTTAACTATTTATTTAACTATCTACCAACAATGCCATAAAACTATTTACGTCGTAGATATTCTCCTTTTATTTGTTCGCAGCCAAGCACTAAGAATTTAAAGAACTGTTAAACAAAATCTATTTAAGGTTTAAGGAAGAGTATTTGTGTATCGCTTTTAAGCTGATGCCTATTAATAATTTGCATTTTAAACACACCTTCATGTAAGGCTCAAATATTTTTGATTGCAGATTTAAAGATAAGATAATTGGGGTGATGATAAAAGTCGTGGCCTATTTTAAACATTATTCTGCATATAAATTGCTGGCCTAGCATCAGATATGGAATTATTAATAGTACCTTCTCCGGCTTAACAATTTTTAAATTATTATTTTAAATTATAAAAACTATTATCTGTTATTTTTGGTTATTTATTTTGAACATTAGTTCTTGGTTAGCTTTTGCCATTTCGGACAAGCATTCAAAATGTATTCGAATATTGGGAAAAAGAAAAAAGGCCTCGCTTGATATTTGGGGATATTATCTTAAGATAAAAAAGTTTTTAATTTCGGCTAGTCCTACTGTATGAAATCTTGATTTTTTCTGGGTATATTAGCAGTAATAATAAATAAATCTAGCAGCACCTGTTCTTAAATGTTTTGCTTTCAACAAGCAATAATTTATCTCTTGTGAATAATCAACTAATTTTTGTGCTTTACATTTCAAGTAATTAATACAAAATTATTTATATTGGACGAATATTTTAGTCAACATTTAAAGCCAACAGATCTGAAACAACTACCTTCATCCAAGCCATCAAAGTTCGTTTTTTTTCAGCTTAAAATAAACAATATGTCCCAAGAGCGAAAATTGTAAATTGTTAAAGCAATTAAATCATCAATTAAATCAGCGTTTAGTATATATCGAAATTTCCATTTATTTTTTAACTTCAAACTTTTATTTTGTTTATACTGAATGCAGTCAATCAACATACATAGTATTGACGCGTTCGACTATTTCCTTACACGCCTTATGCTCTTTATAATTATGAAATACCCTTGCTATTTTTGTTATATTTCATTTATTTAGAGACTAGCGATAAGCACACAAATCTTCATCTAATCAATTTATTTAATTAACTGCAACTAATTTATTTTTGAAGTTAAATTGTCGATTTATTTCCAAATAAAAGCTGCGAATTTGAAAAACATTTAATCTCCTTTAACCCCAGTTAACAAACTTTATTTGAATACATGGAACAGTCTTTTTATTTCTCGAACATTACTTAAAGTTTTTTTTTTTGGTATGTGGCCATACAAGGGAAAGAAAGAGGGTTAAATTTTGAGTATAAATTCGATATAATATTTAGGAAAATTAATACCTTTTATAAGTAGTACGGCCGTCTGGTAATTTATGTGGCCCTGCATTTGCCACGAAAATGCAGCAACAATGCGAGAGAGGAGGAAAACAAGAAAACAATTGAAACCAGCAAACATTATGGCTCGCTAATCACCAATAGTAGGAGTTGGAGCTCCATACATATAGCCGGGTAGGGCAACAAATCTGGCGAATGCCCAGCCAAGATGTCTTGGCTACCAAATGATTTATGGCCATATCGATTGGCAGTGATAGAAATGCACTTGATATGTCAGGGGCGGGGTGGCAGTTGCAGTTTGGGGCAAAGTTGTTGCAGATTTTGCCCGTGACGCTCGATTTGTTAGCAACCAGCTGCTAGTACAACATACATACATATATACTTGTATGTATAGATTTATGTGTGTGTGTGTGTGGCTTTGTGGGTGGATGGACGGACGGACGGACAGTTGAAACACATTGCACTTATTTATTTGGTTTTCAATTTTGTTTTCGGCTCTTCCATTTTTATTTTCTCTGTTTGTTCTCTTTTTGTTGCTTTTGCAGGCAGCATGCTTTTGGACACAGACATGCCGAGCCATTTCCAGTGCCAATGCCAGTGCGAGTGTTTCCACTCCTTGCCATTGCAGACAAATTGCGCGTAAAATAAAACTCAAATTGCAGCAATAACAACAATAACAACAACAACAGCACAAACTTTGGCGTATTGCAAATAAGAAGCAAGCAAGAAGGAATTGAAAAGCGTTTTAAAAACAATAAACGTGGCAAATTCACAGTCAACCTCAAGCTGAGCGACAAACGTTCAGATCGAAACGACCCGCCCACGCTTACCCCCCCCCCCCCCCCCTTCCCCCACACACACACACACACATACATACATACATAACCAACGCAAATATTGCGCGTACGTGTCCTTCTTGTTTAGTGCACGTTTGTGTGTGTATACATACATATAAATATTTATATATACACATATATCTGTACATACATACATGTATGTATGTGTTTATAAATGTATGTAAGTGCATTTGAACAGCGCTAGTGGCAACAACAGCGAGCATTTGACGCGTGTTAATGTGGTACGTGCCGTGCCGTTCTGTGGCACCGCGCAGAAACTCGCAACGATTTTCATTGCATTAAAAACAAAATATAAATACAAATACAAATAACGGGAACGCAGCAGCGTTTGCATACAAACTGTTCAAACTACCGCATAATTCAAGTGAAACTTTGAACTTGCTGCATGGGTCTTCGCAGTGCACCGAAGAGTGCAACAAACCACAACTGAGATACAACCACAGAGCGGTGAGTGGTGAGTGGTAAGTGGTAAGTGGACCCCAGCTCAAACATTATAGCATTAACATAATTAACTAAACAGCGATTCCGGCATTTTAATCCCAACATCTAAGTAGTGGGAGCAGTTTCCGCTTATTAAAAAAAAATGTTGCCTAACCGCTAGGCGCCCATTTAGGGATAGCAATTTTAAACTAAAACTTTAAATCAAAATCATACATTTTTAATTATACGTTTTAAGGCAGGTACTAAGTAAAAAACACTATACTTATAGTTTGAAATAAATAAAATGCAACTATATGTATTTGAACATCCTCCCGATTTGTTTGCCTGAGTTCGCACCAAATTACGTAAATCCGATCATTATTTTCCGGAAAGAGTTAGATTGCACACAAGCTCGAGCAAAGTCATTTCGTAAATTATTTGCCGGGCAATTCGATTGAACCCTAGTACCTTAAGATATACTCGTACCAGCACACAAATTATGCCCACCAAATATGTATAAATACAGTAAAAACTCTCTTGGCGGCAACTTTTCTCCAGCAAAGAGATGTTTCTGCTTAAGAGGATACTTAGCCTTTTTTCAATTGTTTGCACATTTTAATTGTTTTTCTACTTAGGCGATTAAAATAAAGTGACTTTATTCAATATAAAAATTAAAAACATATAACAATCAACTCGTACTATACTTTGAATCTGGTTATGGTTTTCCCTTAAATATTAAATTTTGCAAGAAAAAGTAATAATAACACATTTAATATTTTTTCCAATATTTTTCACCAATATTAATCACTTTTATTATTATTATTATTATTATTTTGATCGTTCAACAAAGGCATAATTTTAAAATAATAAAATAAAAACAGTAATAAGTGCACAGTAGTAGAACAAAATTTGGAAATAAAAGCAATCTGATAAATCCGGGTGCTCAACATTAGTGAAGAGTATCACTCCAACTATTTTGCATGCATTTAAAAAATTCTTTTCAGCTAAAGTTTTTATATATTTATTTACTTATTTATTCAGAATATCAACAATAATACTGTCAATTATATTATAAAAATTAATATATAATAATTTAAACTAAACTTAAAAGATAAGAAAGCCTAACACAAAGCTGTACAATGACGTCTATTAATGCATCCGACACGTTTGGGGGAATTTTATTTGCCAGTTGGTCAGCTATGCCCCGATTCACAGGCAAACTTGTATGTGGTCAGAGACATTAAAGACCGAAAAAACTATACAAAAAGTAGTAGTATGAAGGTGGAAAATTAATTCTATTTAACAACTAATTAGAAAAAGTACGAAGTAGAACGAGAAAGAGAAAAAGAAAGAAGGAAAGAGAGATAGAGAAACAGAAAGAGAAAGGTGGAAAGAGAGAGACGAAAAGAAAAAGACGGTTGTCCTGAAAATCCATAAATCATATTAAAATTACGAAACCTAGACATTCAGATTATTTACGTAAAAATCATATTTGACGAATCTGAAAAGGTTAGGGCAGGCCAGATGAATTTGGTTGCTTTGCAGGGTTTGCTTTTGAGGAATAGAGTATAGAGTACATATCGCAACAACTGACGTGACATCCCTCGGACATTTGATCACGCTAGTACCATCTGTTTTCCCTACATAGCTGATAAACACTTTGAACAAACACTTAATCCAGTCTACGGCCCGATACCCACAAATGTAAAACAAAACAACAAAAAAAAGAAAGACAAACACGTTTATGCATGCATACAGTCGCAGCATCATGTTCAACGAATCCATGACAATACTGCTGGCCCAATGGCCCATTAAAATCGGCATACTGACGAGTCAGTCGGCCACAGGCATCCTTTCAGCTTTCACGATTTTGATTTTTAATTATTGTCTCTGCACAATTGTGTACATACGATTACATGTGTGTGTGTGTGTGTGTGTGAGTGTATCTGTATGTATTCATGGGACTTTCCACATTTTCAGCCTGACCGCAGCAGCCGTTCCGGAGCTGTTGGTGCCTCTGCTACTGCCACTGCCACTGCCACTGCTACTGCTACTGCTGACAAAAGTGCAATAGGAATTAACCTCAAGTGTTGCGGCAGCGGTCGGGCCGTGCTGGGCCGCCAGGCTGCGGCAACAAGCAGCTACGGCAACGACGGCAACGACGGCATTGGCGGGAGAGACAACAGAGACAGACGGCAGTGACGCCGACGCTTGTCGAGCGCGGCCAGCACCAAAATGGTTTCGGATGCGGATGTGGCGGAAGTGCGGCATGTTATGCAACGCATTTTGGTGCCGTGCGTTTTTGTTATTGGACTATTGGGAAATTCAGTGAGCATTTATGTTTTGACGCGGTAAGTGCACTTCTAGTTGTTTGTGGCAGTTGCTGCTGCTGTTGCTGCTGCTGGTCGTGTTATTGTTGCTGGATTATGGCCGCTGCCAACTTGATTCAAATGCGCCAACATTGCTCGGTTACTGCTGTTATTTTATGCACTTTATGTTTATGGTGCGTGTACGTTAGAGAACAGGTACACGTCGCATTACACATCGCATTTAATTGTGTACTTTAAAATAATTTCGCAGTGCTGGCAACACTAGCCGTAGCACCGACAACATCTACAACAGCAACAACAGCCGCAATGACTGCACAAAAATTGCAAATGCGAAATGCAAACAATTGAGATAAGAGCGCTTCGCTTCCCCCACATACATACATATATATATATATCCATTAAAGCGTGCCTTGAATACTCGACGCATGTAATCAAGTTTGCTCCTCGAATGTTGTGGCCTTTATAAATACCGATTCGGCGATTCAGAATGAAAGTTGACCCGCACATACTAGTACGATCTGATATAAAAATAGCTTTTTTTATTTCAATGCTCCCTATTTCTCAACAAACTCAACAAAAACAAATAGCCCCTACAACCGGAGGGAGTTTATTGCGTTTATGCAAACAAAAAGAAGGCAGCTTCTCTTCGATATACAAATATATATTTAAGTACATGTGTAATCAGGAAATGCATATTATGCATAAATTGGCGATCCTCAAATTAAGAGGTGGAAACAGCACTTTGACATCTCCTGCTAATAGAAGTCGCTTTTGCGAACAAACATATATTTTAGAAAAATAAAACCCAAATTTGTTCAAACTTTAATTAAAAAATATTAAAATAATTATAATTCACTCACCTCAAGTGAGTGTGTGTCTGTGTCTGTCTGCAGTTTGCATTTGAATCACAAAAATAACACCGGCAACTGTTTCTAAAGAAGAGGCAGCGATTTAATTCACAATTTTTGATCGAAATTTCAATAAAATACCTAGAGTAAACGTACTATGTATAAACGCCTCTTTCTGGATGTTACACAATGCGAACGGTTTTATAAGGCCATGCAATTATATGGATAATAACTTTTCTAACTTGTCTTTTCAAATAGAGGATGGCTATACAGATTACGTCTGCAGTGTTTGGCTTATGAAGCTTCGGAATTCTGTACAGTATGTTCAAATTTCTATAGATGAAAGGGTGGATAATTAAAACAAAATAGGCCCTAGGAATTAGGGAGTCTACATACTTGTTTATACCAAATAAGGCTAACGTGGGCTCAGTCGTTTTCGAAACCCATGCACGCAGATTTAATATATATCAGTACTTATATTTTATGGATCCGCACATCTTTGATGAACCCTTTATCTCTGCATATATAGTATTATATACTGAGTATATTAAAAAACATAAAAATGTTTCTAGCTTTTCGGTCTACAATAAACAGACCTCCGAATAATTAAGCGTTTAATTAATGACAACTCGAATAGGATAGGTAAAAATCTAGAAAGTGTGTACAAACTAATATTTGTTTGTCAACAATCTGCATAACACGCCAGAATATATTTATGTAGGTTCCTCCGGTTCTTCGTTGACATCAGCGTTTCAGTTACAATGAACCAAAAACCCTCATATTTTCGCCATTTTCGACCGTATGCATAACTGTTTGCACAGCGCCTTCATCGAATGTGTTCATAATTTCTGTAAACAATTTCATTTTTAATTGTATATTGTTGCTCTTCATCTAATTCAAGCAACTTGGAAATTTTGTATATTATTTTCTCCTTCGATGCTATATCACAGGAAACGGATGCGTTGTACCACAAATATATATTTAACGGCCCTGGCAATCACGGACATAGCGTACCTGACTTTTCAGCTCATTTTATCACTCAAGCATTACGACTACATAAAATACCACTTGGAGTTATACTGGATGCTCTATGGCACATTCTTGTGGCTCTGCGATGCATGCGGTAAGTATTAAATTACTGTATAAAAGGATCACTGAATGAAGGATGACAGTGTCTAGTAACTATTTAAAATTTGTAATTATTTTAAATTTAAAATATATGCTATACTCTTGCAATTGATAACGCCAAGTTTTCATTTTTAAGAAGTTCTTAAAAGTAAATCGATATTTATTTATTTATTTTACCAAGAAAGAGAGGAAGAATTTGAATTTGACATAATCCTATACGCCTGTTAATTTTAAGTGTACTCCGACTTACATAAATTGAATTGAAATTGCTGATAGGCTCTAATGTTCTCCACAGCATACATCTCCATTTACATAGCCGTGTGCTTTACTTAAAAGATTACTGTAAAAATGGATTACTGTATAAAGGATACCAGTTTCTACTCACTATTTAAATATGCTATTTAAATATGCTATACATTTAATAGCGCCTTTGTAGTGCACACCAAGTTTTCATTTTGAAGAAGTTCTTAAAAGTATATACTTAGAAATTTATTTATTTATAGAATGTTAACAAGAAAGAAAGGAAGAATTTAAATCGAAAATGTGACACAATCGTATACACCTTTAATTATAATTATACACAAATTGAATTGAAATTGCTGATAGGCTCTAATGTTCTCCACAGCATACATCTCCATTTATATAGCCGTGTGCTTTACTATCGAACGATTTATAGCGATACGCTATCCGCTGAAAAGACAAACATTCTGCACTGAGTCGTTGGCCAAGAAGGTAATAGGAGGTGAGTAGCGTATAAGCGCTTGATGGGTCTCCATGCTTATGCTTTTCACGAATGCCTCCATGCAGCTGTGACGCTCTTTTGTCTGCTGTCCACCGTGTCCACGGCCTTTGAGCACACATACAGCATCAGCGCTAAATTGATTGATAGTGAGTATCGGCCATGCAATCTGACGGCAGCGAACGTGTTGCCAGCGTCCGGGCCAGGAACATCAGACACGTCAGCAACGCCATCCACGACGACGACAACGACTATGCAGTTGTGGCCAGAGCTGCTCGAGAGGTGGGGCAGCGGTGACGATGACGATGACGAAGCAGGTGAGTCGTTAGCTATCTGTGAAAAATATTTACAAAATATTCTTGCCATTTCATTGCAATTTACAGCGACGCTTGCAGACAACATTCCAAGCATTGTGACGCCCCGGACGCGGCTTAAGCCGGCGACTGCCGTTGGTGGCACACCAGTTGCCAGCTTAGAGCAGTCGGCGATGCAGACATGGGCGACACAACTGTCACGTGAGCAGGATAGGAAAAGCTGGGCTCGCACAAATGGGAACAACAGCCGCGTGCTCGCATTTAATGTAACGGAATATTGTCAAAACGTAAGAGACAGAGCGACAGAGAGTGAGAGTGAGGGAGAGAGCGAGAGAGAGAGGGAAAGAGAATGGCAACAGACAGCTGTAAAATGCGAAATTGCAAGTGCATTTGTTTAGTATATACTAAGTACTTAGTATATAGAAAGTGTCATCACAAGAATTTTCTACTGCCGCAGAGGTATCCCCCAAGGGGAAAAGGCAATCGAGATGGTTTCAAAATCTCCTGTTTTATGTTAAAACCACACACAATTCGAGAAATAGCTTCGCAAAATAGTTTATATATAGTTCGTTGTAACTCTCCTAGAAAGCCTCGTGTTAAGCGAAATCGTGTTGAACGAGACAAAAGTGAATTAAAGTAATAAGCTTCATTAAATATTTAAAAATATTTTTTAACTTATGTCGTGTAAGAACGAGCAAATTTTTAAAGGTGTTAGACCGTGTTCGTTTTTAAGGAGGTCGTGTTAAGCGAGTGCTTGGTGTATTAGAAAATTAACTAAAGGCGGCCCTGCGTTCTGTTGTTATTAGAACATAACTACACTATGCTCATGAGAAGTCCATAAATTAATATTGAAAATAATTGTCAATATTTTCTAATAGGAAATACATGTTTCCTCTCAAATGATGTGCAAGCAAAATAATTCCATTACAATTACACAATTACATTACTTAGCAGTTGGTTACCATTTCTATTCCAGAAAGGAAATATGATATATTTCGTAAATTATAGGTTACATGCAATGGCATGCGTCTCCGACCCGATAAAATGAATTATAAACACCGGTACTTAACTACACTATGCCCATGAGAAGCCCATATATGTATATAGATATATTCAGAAGCAAAATAATGCACAATTGGAATATATTGAAAATGATTCTATTGAACAATTGCACAAAACATACATTTTCCAAAGGAGGCAAGATTGCGTATTTTTTTTATAAATTAAATTGTCTAATTTGCTTAGACAAAAATTGCACTGCTTGTTAAAAGGCTGTTAGTGACAATAAAAAAGAAGCAGTCCGATGGTAAAGCAGTTCTTGCTAATAATTAATTATGTTTATTATGATAATCATTAATTAATGAGCAATGTTCACAATGTAAATAAAGTCAAGTCAACTAGAAATCGCCTATAATGTATCTAAATCTCTATAAGATAGAAAGCAAAAAGTTAGTTGACAATAGAAGAAAAAGCATTTGCCATTAAAGATGATTGAAGAGGATTGGACATCTTTATTCCCCTCTTCAAGACTAATTACTGGGTGTCCACAAATGATGTGCATGCAAAAATAGTTCCGTTAAAAAACTTAGTACTTAGCTACTAGTCTAATCAGATATTTTCTTTCGCCGTAATTATAGACTGTACCTTAAGTGGAATAGGGCATATTTTCATAAATATTTACAATGGGGAGAAAGCAGCGTATTTCATTGTCGGGCATATTCTGAAGTAGCATTCATATCTAATTCGGTGTTAACAATTTAGCACTTTATATACATTTTTTTTATATATTTTCCTCAGGTAACTTTTTACACAAACGCCTACTCGCAATTGGGACAGAACACTTTGTATATTAATATCTGGAGCATGGCGACTCTACTGGTCTTCGTGCTGCTGCCCCTGAGCATGCTGGCCACCTTCAATTGTTTCCTCATCATGCTTGTGCATCGCTCGAAGAGTTTGCGGGGCGATCTGACCAATGCCAGTAGCATGCGGCGCACCAAGGTGAGTCAAGTGGACTCGAGTCGAGTCGAGTCGAGTCTGGTCGAGTTGTTGATTCGACGCGATTCGCTTCGATTCGATTCGAATCGCTTCGATTCGTAGGCAATTCTAATCAAAATTCTAAAAACCACATACACTTGGCAGCGGAAATCCAATTCCGGGCTGGCGGGCAGTGTTTCGCAGGAGAATCGCGTGACCATCACACTCATTGCTGTCGTGCTGCTGTTCATCGTTTGCCAGCTGCCTTGGGCCATATATTTGATATTGGTACAGTATATGGAAATTGAGTGGAATATACAATTGGTTGCGGGCAATGTGTTCAATTTTCTGGCCGCCATCAATGCCGCGGCCAATTTTTTCCTATACTGCGTGCTGTCCGACAAATATCGGAAGACCGTGCGTGAACTCATCACGGGCTATCGCTACCGCCACCGACACGCACGCAACAATACGAGTATATATACACCTCACACCACCACCACACTGACCCACATCAATGGCGATGGTGGCTATGGGGGAGCAGGCAGCAGACGTAGTCGAGGAAAGGCGGCTGGGACGACAGGACAGGCGCGTCTGATTTCGTGAATCACGCGTGCATTGAAGCTCATCGCTCGCTCTCTTTGTTTTGTTATATCTTTTAATATGATTACATTTTTGTGTTTTTTTTTTTTTTTTTTAAGGTACCTTAGCAAATTTGTTTAGGTTAAGCTGATCAATCTACAAGTATATATATACGAGTATATATACATACATTGTGCCATAATGTGATGATTATAGTCTTATGCAACTAATATTGTAACATAATTGTCGTCGTATAGTTTAAATACACACGCACACGGAATGCACATCATTTTGATCATTTCTTTTAGGCATTGCAGCACTCATTTCTGGGATAATCCACCGAAAATAAGGGAACTGTTTATGAAAAACCAATATGCAATTACTTATTATTCTGACTTTCTCATTATCAATTCTCTGTTCGACAAATTCCAACAAATCCATCGAGTAATGCTTCAAAATTAATATTATTTATTATTTTGAAAAACATAAAATCTATTTTCAATGATATTCCCATTTCTTTATTGAATGCATTTGAAAAAAGCTGCAACTAACGTTTTTATAATTCTGATATAACTCGTATTAGCCAAAGGACTGTCAATTGTAATATCCTGGTATTATTTTATATTTAACTATCGTCCCGCCCCTGCCCCTCACACACATACACCTTTCTTTTGCTATGAGTTACTGAAAAATAGGAAAATTATAAAAATACTTCGTTTGGATATCGTTATTTAATGATTTTTTTTCTTTAGATTTTCTCTTTTATTCTTTATTGAGTCAGAGCTTCTCTGTAAACAATATTTGATATTGTTTTATTTTATGACAGCAAAATAAAATGTTTTTCAACATTCAGTTGTCGGTGAGTTAAACATTCCTTCTGTAGGTCGATCGCTACTAATTCGAAGGTTTGGCCTTGGAAATTATTAATTGTTAACGCGAAAGATGTTTTTTTTTTTTTTTTTTTACCGGAAATTGAAGTTGTTTTAATTGGATTGACAGGTCAGTTGGAATCATCGGGCAGCTCATATACATCAGCTAGTTGATCAGCTGCTAATAATGGTTGCTACACTTAAATTGTCCTGCAATTCCTTAATAAGCACATGCTCGGAGGGCTTTAATTTCTCAAAAGCATGCTTGGAATCGGAATGATTTTTAACTTCAATTCATGTGGCGGCAGTCCAGAAGGGCTTAGAGAATTCAAAAATCCCTGTGGATCATGGACAGTGTCTTCGATATTAGTGACATAATGTTTCGAGGATGATTCTGAGCCTTTTCAGGAATTTTGCAAATAAAATATAGTCTATGTTAACCGGGGATAGTATAGATTCCCAGCAGTGAATACTTTAAATCGATCCAGTAGTTTCGGAGCCTGTTCAATTCAAATAAACAGACAAACAATCAATGCTCTTTATAATATTAGTATAGATTATATAAAAGCACATGGGGTTTAAATTGTTGCAGAGTTGTTTTGAAAGTCTTCATAGATTGCATTTCGCAAAGCTGTGGATTAAATTAAGCAAATGCTGGCTCTCCCACTTAGACAAGGGCGTTGTCAGCTACCATCTTGCCCAGCAGTTTTCTTTTCGTGGAGTTCACGACGTGCATGCCAGTGGCTGGCATTGTCATTGCCTGCTGCTGATGGCATCATTTAATCCTGGCGGAGGATATGCAGCTAAACCCAATATTGATTTTCGAATGCACAAATGCAGACATCATGGCTCGCAGTGGCCGCCAGTTTCATGTGCGAGCAAACAACAATACGGCAACAAATTGTCAAGGGAATGCAAATCGAACGAACACGAGCATGCAAAGTGCAAAGCAGAGAAAACAACAACTGCAACAACAACAACAGTATCCACACACTGCCACCATCACTACCACCACCACCACTAACAACAACAACAATAAGAACAATATTCTGCAATAGCACAAAAATGAAATATCTCAAAAAATTGGTGCAGAAATATTGAGTTTTATTTCAACGAGTATAAGATAGCCGTTGCTTGATTTTTTTGATAATTGAAGTATTGACAATGTACCACGTACACGTACATGCCTGTATACGAGTACTATGTGTATGCCTGTGTGTCCCTTTGTAGGTGTGTATATGTGTGTGTGTCTGTGTGTGGACACCTGCGCACTTGTACATGCTATTGGCCGTCCAATACTTAATTGAAAGCGAGAGCTGCAACTTGCCAGCACATGCGGCTCAATAAAAATACCAGATTCCGAATGCTGTGCTGTTGAAAGCACACTCGACTCTCGGTCTGAAGCCGGCTACCCTAATAGGATGAGTTCCCCAATAGCTTAAGCTGTTAATTGGCTGCAGGCTGCAGACTGCAGAATTGATTACAAAGTTGGATACTAAGCTCAAAAGTGCAGACTGTGCACCACCTGTCTACACTGAAGTGTAGACATGGATTCCTAGTGTACCTCAAAGTATAGTATTTCACAGCTATATGCAAATATTGTTGGCATTGTTGCGTCAGAGTCTCTAGAAAACCTTTTAAAAGAATTTTCAAATGACTATGCGTTTTATGAAATGGTTGTTGTTGCCGCTGAGGACTTCAATGAAATACAATTTGAAAACAAGATAGTCTAAGTACTTAGTATTCAGTATAGCGCAAAAAACATTTTCGAGTTGTGTTGGGCATTTTTATTTGAGAAGCATATATGTACATGGTCTGTTTAAAAAAAAAGGTGAATTTTGAATTTTTTTTTAAGAATTTATTTATTCATCAATATCCATTTTGTCCCCTTTAAATTAATCCTCCTCAGATATAATGCACTTATGCCTGCGCTTGTTCCAATCCTCGAAACACTTCTGAAATTCACTTTTCCTTTTCCTTAGACCGATTTTGAAAAACAACATTAAAAAAATATATTAAATTTTAATTAAATAATGAACGATGCATTTACAAAATAATTTCTTCATATGATCAGTGAAAAAACTTCAACAAATCCAACTAAGTTTCATTTTAAGGCGAAACAGTGCGTCATAGTAATGAACGTGTGGTCGACTTTATATGGCAAAATCCCCCCTGCAAACGTCCTTGACTATATATAATGAAGTAAGGTATTAGGTATTTGATGAACGTTTAGTTAAATAAGGCCGGTGGATCGCTATTGGCACTCCCACATAGACACTAGTGGGTGCTTTCTATTGCGACTAAAGATCGCTTTGGAGAGCGATTTAATAAGCCGTCAGCATCCTGATGGGCACAGGGAGCATTTTATACTTATACTTAACCCCATTTTTTAAGAGGGCTGGACAGTGGCAGAGAAGGTATTCCAGCGTTTCGATCGCTTCCTGCAGCTGTCGTCCGCTCATTGCTCTCTGTGGAGTTTCAATGTTTGCATTCGTTTTTCTCAGTGACTTATGTACATATATATAGTATGTATATATCTACACACATACATACAAGTACATATACTTGTACAAGGAGTCTGTCACGCAAATACTCTCACCTACCTACACATTTTCTTTAACAAACGTAATGGAGTAACAAACATTTGCGGCTTACTGCATATATTTGACGGTCGGTTTGTTTGTCTGTTTTTCTGTTTGCCACACAAAAAATTTATCAAGTGGCTCGGCAGGAAAACACACACACGCAAACGCACACTCACAAAAAAATCAAGTAAACAAAATACAATATATGTAGATGCATGTGTGTGTGTGTGTGTTGCAAATGTTTCTACTGTGGATTGAGAGTGTCAGTGCATGGAGGAAAAGCCTGAAGTTGGAGCTGCGGCCACTGCGACTGCGACAGCGACTGCGTCTGCAAATGTGACTGCGACTGTGGCACATAACGTTCTGTTCGCTCTACTGGACGCGTGTGCGGATGTATGTATGTGTATGTGTGTGTGTGTGTGTGTGCATGAAAAATTACAAGTCAGCGTCACAATTGAAATATTTCCGACTCAACGCACAGAAATGCGCAATCGAAAATAGTTATCTTGCCATTGGAATTTGCCCAGAAATATGCATTGCCGGCTATATGGAGGGCCACTACTGGGGCAACTGGGGAGGACGGCCCCGGGCGGAAGTGGCAACGGCTGTGGCAGCAATACTCACCATTGAACTAACCATGCGGGGCCATATGTGTGGCAGCAGTGCATTATATTTTTACACTGTCAGTCCCGCAGCCATTCAGTCTTTCCGAAACTCTGCCCATCTCCCTGAATTTGTGTCTGTGTGTTGTTTTGGCGCTTTGTACGCCACACTGGACAAAATTTCCATATTTGATTGTTTTTGGGGGCACGAATGCTTTTTGCATGCGTTGCCCCCATCCCCCGCACCCAACTGTCCTTCCCTTCTGTTTATTGAAAATCGCACATACGTAAAAATTGCGGAGTGGCAGGAGCGAGGAGACAGAAGAGAGGCAACAAAAGCATTGCATACTAAGATGACAAAATGTGATTCACAATGCCGACCAACTAAATAGCATTACTGCCTCACAAACACGATTACCAAATTCTCGTACAAAAAACAAGGTACTAACTGTCCCGCTGAAGTGTACTGCAAGACTGTAGTTATATTTCGGATTGGGACTTATTGAAAATGGAATCGCATTCAAAGTTTCCAACGCTGCCGGCCACATAGAGAAGCTTCAGTCTCCTCCCGACTACGCTGTTATCGCAATTCTTCCTGATTCGGATGTTTTTTCTTCGACGTTACAGACCGTGTGGAGGGGTTTGAAGTCAACTTTCTAATATACCTGTAATGACGAACGAATTATAAACGAGTTGAATATAATTTTCGAATTTCTGAGACAACTCCTTGTAAGATGGAGATCATCTCTCTTGCTCTAGCTCGTATAGATATTGCTAGACAATCGAATAGTTTGTGCACACATCTCTCAAATTGCGAAATATATGCACTACTAACCATTTAAGAGATTTGTAGTCATGGCGTATATTTAAATTATTTGCCCTTTAATATTTAAAGTTTTAATAAATTAAAAGTTTTAATTTAATAATAAATTTAATAGTGCTTTCTCATTTCGTCTAATACAAGTAACAGCATTTTCTTATGGTGTAAGTATTTAGCTGATCATCACTGTGCGCCATGGCTTTGATAAAAAATGGTACTTAAGTAAAGAAAAAAGCTGTGGAAAAATTAAGCCACATATGACCAAGCAAAAGGGAGAGATAATGCAACAGAAGCCAAAAAAAAAAAACAAAAAATTAAATCGCAAAAGAATGAAAAGAG